TTCTCCTAACATTATGTAGTGCTGCCACAATTTGAAGCCAAGCCCTAAATGTTCCCTTCCTTACCTTGTTCATAAATCCAGCAGGTTCTGAGATGCTCTCATTCTCTTTGCATTCAGGATGGTCCAGAAAGGAATGACCAGATCAACATTCTCACCAATGTAGGTCTTCCATGTGCACTGCAAACCAATTTAAAACAAAAAGTAGTTTATGTGCAATTTGATGCAATTTGATTTTGAGAAGAACAAAAAACACCTTGCTTAACAGACTGATATGTGAAAATATGGAGTCAAAGCTTTTCGCAGCATGGAAGGAAAAGGTCACCATCTTCTAAAACTTGCTTTACCAGCAGCAGCTTTAAAAAAAACAACAGCTGCAGACTTCAGTTGAAAAGTCCTGTTCAAAGTCCTGTTTAGCATAATTTATCTGAAATCAAGCAAAGTGGCTGGAGGGGGGAATGCTGTGCCCTCTAGATGTTGTTGGACAGCAGCTCCCAGCATCCCTGAACATTAATTATGCTAGCTAGGGCTGATGAGAGCTGTAGTCCAGCAATAACACCTGGAGAGTTATGAGCGTCTCAGCCTTAACATAACAACATTTATATTCTCATGGCTTGTTTAAAATTAGGTTCAGTAAAGCTGGTTCTTGCAACATGTTTTTTTTTTTTTGGATCTGATGCACCCAGCTCTTGCAGTGCTCAATATAGCAACAGCTTTATCTAGGACAATAGTAATAACTTCTAAAAATGTTATAGGATTACAGATAGAATTCATTTCAATGAAAGTATGGTCAACTGGTGCTCAAAGTGAGCAAATTTGTGGAGATAGTTGGACAGTGCAATTTATAGTTTCCTAACCCTTTCTGCCAGTTTGTCTCCTAACCCTTCCTACCTGTGATCTGGGACTCAATGGTCAGGATGGGGCTCAGTGTTAGTGAGAAACAATTTGACTGGCATGTTAACAAAGGCTGCATCTACATTGCAGCATGAATGCACTTTGACACCATTTTAACTGCCATGGCTCAGTGCTATGGCATCCTTGGCCAGGGTCCACATCCTAGCAGGCCACAAATGACTACCTAGACAGCAACAGGTAAAGGGGGCATGTCAAACAAGCTCAGGCTCAGCATTTGAGCTACTATGGATAGAGCAGGACTGATGCTGCTACTCCAGTGCATTCTCTCTTGTTTACCTTTTAAAAAAACATGTTACAGATAGAGATAAGCTCACAGGGCAGGTAGGTGGCTATGGGTACTCATTATATTATTATTTTTTAATGAAAATAACATTATCCTTTTCAGCAATAAAATGGTGGTTATTCCCAAGCAGTTATGTTTCATATCAGGTTCAGGGGAACAGCAGGAAATGCAATTTCAATCAAGTAATTCATGGCCCTGAATTTGCAAGACCTGATCGGG